TCTTGAATAGCTTTCTTAACCCTTCAAGGAAGGTGAGGATTCCAGGCCACACCCAAGAGGTGTCAGGGGAAGGAAAGAAACCTAGACATGTAGAGGAGGGACCAGCAGGATTTTGTCTCTAGCAGAGATCAATGGAGCAGCTTTGAGGCTCAGGAAATTTGGGCCTTGACTGGAAAGGGAGCAGGGCTGTGCAGACTGCACTAGGGGACTGTAACCCTTTTGGAGGGAGCTGAGAATCTGTATCCGAGTGGCCTTTGCCCCAATAAATGCCTTCATCAAAAATGAGCTGGATGTTTTGCTTCTTGGAACTTTGGATTGTACTTCTTCTCCCTAGTAGGAGATAAGTTTACTTCCTCAGGAGCTGAACTGAAAGCAATTCAGGGATAGGGAACAACCAGGGAGGGTCAGGGACCAAAGGCCAGGGGCTCAGAGCAAAAAAGCCAGGACTCCCTTCTTCTCTAGAAGCTGCACCTGGGCTGGCTCAGGAGAGAGTCTCAGATACTAGACCAAGCTGTGGTAGTCCTGAGCAAAAACTCCTTCTGGGGCACTCTGTGACGGTCTCTCTTCTCTGCTTTGACTATAAACTTCTTTTGCTGGGGGCTGTTTTGTGTGTATACTGCTCAATATAGTGGAGAACAGATTTACCCTGCATTCCAGCAATATATTCAAAATACTGTAGTTTAAACATGCTTTGCCATGGCCTGAACTGTAACTTTAGTTGTGTATACAAGCCTTTTCTGTCTTTAATTCATAGGGTTAAACTACATGGTGAATGTCACAGGCCTACCTAGCCAGGCAGTGGAATTGAATTGGAAAAGTAGTGTACTGCATATTTACTGCCATGTATAATGTACAGTACACTGTTGCTGCTTGTTATCTTATTCTTATAAGGTTTCCAAATTCTCATTTTACTTCTTGAATACTAAATTAACAAGAGATCTAAAATGTCTAATTTAACAGACTAGTCGGGTATATAGCTAAAGTTCTGTCTTTAAGATTGCATTTTGTATTGTACCCTGGATTTCAGTTGTAAATATTCCACTTGGGACTGAAACGATCTATGTAGGAAAGTGTAGTGGGGGGGCTTGCTGTATATGACCAATGACTGACTAACTTTGGGGACAGTCATTATCGCTCTATCGCTATCAGAAGACTTGAATTCGTGAGAGGGGGTCAGTATATGAAAAAGTGCACGTGGTTCAGGAAGAAACCTGAATTGAACTGAGGTACGGGAAAGGATTTACACCAACAGATGAGAGACTGAGTGAACTCCCCAAGCATCAGGATTCTAGTGCCAAAAGATATGAAATACAAGTTACTGACTGAGAAGTCAAACTTAATGAAGTAGCAATTACTGATACAGTCAAGGAGAAGAGAATGTGACAGAGAGGCTTTTAAGGAGCAATGGAGAAATGCAAAGTGCTGCACCTAGGGAGGAAGAATGTCCAGCACACCTACAGCCTAGGGAATGACCTGCTGGGTGGCACGGAAGTGGAAAGGGATCTTGGAGTCCTAGTGGACTCCAAGATGAACATGAGTCGGCAGTGTGACGAAGCCATCAGAAAAGCCAATGGCACTTTATTGTGCATCAGCAGATGCATGACGAATAGGTCCAAGGAGGTGATACTTCCCCTCTATCGGGCGCTGGTCAGACCACAGTTGGAGTACTGTGTGCAATTCTGGGCGCCGCAATTCAAGAGGGATGCGGATAACCTGGAGAGGGTCCAGAGAAGGGCCACTCGTATGGTTAAGGGCCTGCAGACCAAGCCCTACGAGGAGAGACTAGAGAAACTGAACCTTTTCAGCCTCCGCAAGAGAAGGTTGAGAGGTGACCTTGTGGCTGCCTATAAGTTCATCACGGGGGCACAGAAGGGAATTGGGGAGTATTTATTCACCAAGGCGCCCCCCGGGGGTTACAAGAAATAATGGCCACAAGCTAGCAGAGAGCAGATTTAGATTGGACATTAGGAGGAACTTCTTCACAGTTCGAGTGGCCAAGGTCTGGAACGGGCTCCCAAGGGAGGTGGTGCTCTCCCCTACCCTGGGGGTCTTCAAGAGGAGGTTAGATGAGTATCTAGCTGGGGTCATCTAGACCCAGCACT